AGTTTATAACACAGCCCCCACCTCACCTCTTTGTCTTTCCATCCTTATGAGCTACAGTAGATAATCACTGAAGAACCAATCACATCTTCATAACAGAGCAGCATGAATCCAACAGAATAAATACTATAATTATGGAACTGCTTTGTCATTTTCACTTTGATTTAATGAAATGAGACTTTGTAATGATGTGTCTCATTTCTGGAGACACCCTTGATCACAGACGTTTTGAACGCGCAAGTAAATTGAAGTGTGGGATTAGAAGTTTGACACATGTCTCAGAAATGTGACTTCAACAAGCAGGGCTTTTGTGAAAAGCTGTCTTGAACTGCAGACTGACTGATGTTTACAGTGCAGCAATAAAGAGAAACCATCTTCTGACAGATTGATTGGTACACTGGTTAAGCCTGAGATGAAACAAAGTGTTAAAACTAACCAGACCAGGCTAGTTTGGAGGGAGAGATTTCCATGGTAACTTAGGCCTTACTTATCTAAACCTCCTTTATGAAACTGAATTACTGAAATAAGCCTGGTGTTAATAGAAATCTTGCTTTAGGAACACCCCTTTGGAGATATTTTTATATTTACACACCAGTGCTTTTATTTCCTCTCTACACATGTCAAAAGTGTCAAGTTCTAACATGTTTGGACAATTTTATTAAAGCGATATGTCAGAGACGCAGACGAATCCCTGCTGGTGCAACTGATGGGATTTTTGTTTTTGGGTAATACAATTGGACTTGATCTAGAGGTTTTCAAAATGTTGTGCTTTCACGATGCACTGTGCAAATGAGAGTCATTTTGGGATCATGCCACAGAGCACCATCTTTAAAACAACATGTCACTGTTGTCACCTCCCTCCAACTGGCCTCGGCAGCGATATCTTGACTCTCGCGTTTATTATGGATCAGTGTTGTTATCAGTGCTGATTGAGGTGCTGCCGTCTGCGTCTCCCATGCTGGGAAACCAGCTGGGGTGCTCAGATGACTCAGTTGCCCCATATGTGCCCATATGAAGAAACACAGCACCCTCTGCTGGTATAAAGCAGCAACTTGATTTAGTGCCAAACAACTTTCACGTCCAAAACTGCGACAAAATTTGATCTGTGGGTGATGTTGTTAAATTATAAAATCCAGCTGACAAAGGTGGTCTATTCAAATCTAACACATTTATAAAGATACTTACAGGCAGATTCAACACAGGGCATTTGTGCCTTCAAAGACTTTGCCAACTTGGTTACATGAGGGGAATGACTTCAACTTTCCTAACCTCTGTGTAATGTTACATTTTGTTTCTATATTGTTGGATGTATGTTTACAGCTCATTTTTGCCTGGAAATTGTGATCCAAGTTCGTTTCAGGGTTTCACCACATCCATAAAACCACAAACCTAAACTCTCATGAGGAAAAACTCCTACAAAAACATCAAAGGAGATGTGTCAGCTGTCACATTATACTGTACAATTACCAATCAAAATTCACTTTGTACTGGGTTTTAGTCTCTGGTTTTAGGCCTCAGCCGGCTGGGTGGGCCTACACACGACCTGCCTACAGTGACTCACTTTGCCAATCTTGCGATGATCTCTGTTCTTGGCCTCCTCCTGAAAGCGTTCCCACTCCTTCAGCATCTTTGAGTCTGGGAAGGAAATCCCATAGATCCTCTGTAGAGTCTCCATGTCGGAGCGGCCCTCCCAGTAGGTTGAAGAGTTCTGATGACAGAGGTAGAAAAAACAGAGGAGCTACAAACTGGGAAGTGTAGTGAGAGGTAAAAATTGTTAAAATACTAAAATTCCTTGTTTAAGTAGTTAGAAAAATTAAGGTAACAGATGACAACATTTGGGGAAAACATTATCTGAGAACATAAATTGGTATGGGACTTAAGGACTTTGGAAAAATAAAAAAAAATTAGTAACATTTGATCCTTTGTGTATTTTTACATACCTTGTAGATCTTCATGGCCTTGATCTTGCCTGTGTGCCTGACATGGGGACCTCTGCACAAGTCAATCAAAGGCCCACATCTAACCAGGATTCATAAATTACACAAATTAGTTTCACAAAGACCCCAAAATAACTCACACATCCTCCTAAAATAAAGATCTCCAATAATATTTCCTCTTCCTTCTCTGAAGCAACGTACCTGTAGACTGTAGTAGTGGGGGTTTTCACTTTCTCATTCAGAATGCGACACTTGAACTTGTTGTACTGTAAGATGCAAACCCCTTGGGTTAGTTAGAAATGATCCTGAGCAGAGGGAGTAATCTTCACATACGTTCACAACTTTTTTGCTTTAATTTAAAGACTTCACTGTGTTTCTTTTGCCAAATATCAAATACATACATGCAAATAATAATAATAATGATAATAATAATAATAGGCAAGACTATATTAACCAGGCTATGCAAGTTTATGGCTAGAGAGCTTTGTTTGTGAAATAGCAATAATAGTTTTAAACTTTTCAAAGACTGGAAAACAAATACACAACAATTAAATCATAATTCACACAAGCAAAGAATCTCTGGCTTGATTCTCACCTTGAACATCTTCAACAGTGTCTCCTTGCTGATCTCAAGCCTCTCAAAGGGCTGTTTTTCTTTTACCACAGCTTTACACAAAGCCTCCAAGTCACCAAACTCATTGCTGGACACTCCCCTGAAAACAGGAATCATGTTCAGTTTCAGTTTTTAATAGACTATGATGTTTGAAAATCATATGATATATCAGAAAAAAAAAAATCACATGTAAGAGCAGAGACAAAACTGATAGTAAAAATACTTGCTCACTTCTGTCCATCCAGGAACATGTCATAGTAGAAACCATTCTCGATGGGTGGTCCATAACACAAACAACCTCCATAAAAATTCTCCATTGCCTCCCCAAGGATGTGAGCACTGGAGTGCCAATACACCTTGGACACGATATCATGATGTAAATATTACTTCTTGACAAACAAACCCAAGACAGTTTAGTCAAATTAAACCAAGAACTGTGTTTGAACACTGTTGCTTGGACCTTTTTAATACATCAGACACCAAGCTAGGTTTATAACTAGTATAATTAGTATTAGTGAAGATGATAAAAAGGAAAAAAGTGGCTTATTACTATTATTTTTTTTATTAAATCACTTTAAAAGTTCTCTGTACTCACAGCCTGAGCATCCTCATTGTCAAAGCGCAAGATCTCAAGAGAGCAGTCCTGCTCGAGGGGTCTGTCCAGGTCCCAAAGCTCCCCATTCACCCGAGAAATCACAGCGTTGTCAGCCAGGCCCTGGCTGAAAGATCAAGTGTCAGAAATTTGCCTCAGACATGCTGTGTCCAAACTTAACAGAATAATTTCTATAATCATAATGAAGAGAAAGTTTGAGAACAATATTGGAAAAAAGGCATGTGTCTGTAGACAATCTGGCGTTTTGTGGGAAAATAATAAATCATATTGATCATATTGGCGGCCATGTATTGCTGATACAGTGGTTGGCTGAACATTAGTTGATCTGGCCAGCTGTTTACGTACAAACCTGATATCACAAGCCAACTGGTATGGTGTGGTGACCCAAGCTTTGGCCTCCACCTTACGTCCGTCTGGCAGCTCCACAGTAATGGCCTTGTTCTGTGCAGCTTTCTTTGCCAGCAGGGCATCACTCTCCCTCTTCAGCTCCTCATAGAGGCTGAGGCGCTCTGCAACAAATCCAGGCAATGGCTTGTGCTATAGTGGGGAAATATATTGAAAAAACAAAGTCAATAAATTGCCTACATTTAAAAGGAAATCAAGCATGACCATAGTTTGCATTTGGGAACGATAGGGACCATAGCAAAAACATTTGTTCTGTGCTTTTATTTTCTATTTTTTTTTAATAATCACCTCTTTCACACCTCCGCTTCCTTGTCCCTTATCCTGCTTCTTCTCCTTCTTGTTCCTGTCAGCTGGTTTGGTATCCGGGGTTGCCACCTGTATGCAAACACAAAGGGGTGTGTGCGTGCATGTGTGTGTTACACTTACAACAAGCTTTTATCACAATTTCTGTCTGAGTCACATTATCAGGATGTTACAAAGCCAGTGAACATGTCCAGTATACAAGCTGTGAACACACTGTGACACTGAGTGGAGCAGCTATTTCTGGATATGGTGTGGTGTGGTTTGTCATTTGGTTTCACTGGACAGAGGCCCGTTACTCATTGCCTCACTACTACTCACTACCATCATCAAATTACATATTTAAACTGGGTAATATCTTCTGTCACGGTCTTTATTGCTACCTTTTTATCGGCTTGGTTGTTTGTCTGCTGCTTATTGCTGGTGTTTTTCTCCGGAGCTCTGACACACTTCACTCCTTGTGGTTTCTTGCCCTGCGCCTCCTCCAGCGCCAGCTCCGCCTGCAGACCCCGCCGGAGGTGCAGTAGCCGGTATTGTAGCTTCTCATTCTCGGCCCGCAGGCTCTCCAGTTCCGGGGAGACCCCTGTAACACCGCCGGCGTCTAGACCACGGCTTAATCCATCCCGGAGAGTGCAGACTTCCTTAGTGAGGAGCCGAATTTGCTCCTCCTGGCTGGCCAAGCGTGCGGCCAAGCACTCCGCCATCTTTAAATGACCCCTCGATGACAGCTAACTTCCGGTGAAGGCCTTTGAAAATAAAACCACATGAAACAATGTAGTATAATAGGCCTTTTTTTATTTTTCAAAAAATTAATAAAGAATATCCTACAAATCGAAATTAGAGTAGATACGCATAAATATGTATATTGCTTATGTTATGAGTGTCAAAATAAGACTAAAGCGAATGTCAAGTAACATTTTAGTAGACGAGTGAACATATTTCTAACGTTGTCTGACAGGATATTATTTAGTTAAAGTTATGAATTATTACGCTATTATGTATCCTAACTACTAGAGAAGTTACTTTAACTATAAAGTAATTACATTGCCGTTACAATACATATATTTCCTGTTATGGAGTACCGACGCTAGGGGGCAGTAACATATTTTCTCATACATTTTAAGTTAGTGTCAGCTGATCACTGCAGTACAGCATTCGGCCACGGGCTGAAATGTCAGCAATGTAAACACAGACGTGGATATCTCTAGCCTGCAGGTAAGTGTCAGCCTTTGAATGAAAGCGGAAATATGTCACTTACAGATTTCAGTTTACTTTTTTGCCAACGGTTGACTAACACAACATCTACAGGGACGTTAGTCGTGTCCATAACTTGCTAACTGCCAACACAGCTAGTGCTACATTAGCTAGCTAGAACTTAGAGCTTACTCCCAGCTGATGTGCACCAAATGTAGTTCAGTCTACCGCTGTTAACAGTTTCCGTACTTATTTGGAGGACAGATACATGCCAGAATACGGTTTAAGACATTTAAGGAGCCTGTCTGAAATTCGGCATATGAGAAGTAACCATAAACTTTACACTTAAGTAAACATTTGTAAATGTTGAACTTGTTCGCTTGTACTGTTGCAAACAACAGAATGAGGCGCCCATCGAAACTTTGCTGCACTAAACTCAGTAAATGATTGACAAACAGTGCTGAAATGATTAACATATTATTAAGGGTTATGAAGTGGAATAATGTAATGTTAGATAGACTGTCCCTTAAGTAGGAGGGCCATGTTTGTACTGTTATAAAGCCTTCCCTCATGTGCAAGAAGTGGAAGACCACCAGGTCAGAGGAGAGCATGATGTTATTCTGCAGCTTCTGGCCTTCCCGTAGAAGGATGAATAACAGGCCATTTACTTGGTGTAAATAACATATCGATCTTACATTCCAGCCTGGTCCTGCTTTGGAAATTTGATGTTGCAGTCGTCAGCATGGCTTCAACCTCCAGCTTTGCTCCTCCAAAACTGTCTGAATACATCCTTACAGAGCGGCTGGGCAGTGGCACCTATGCTACAGTCTACAAAGCCTACAGTAAGGTGAGTTTGTGGAGGAGTCAAGGGATAACACCACAAATGTCTAACAAATGCTAAGACATTAATGTTTCTGTTTGAACTCTAGGTTGTCCAGCAGTGCGGTCCCCTATATTTCACTACACTTTGCTTACCATACTTAAAATAAACTATGATGTATCAATAAATGTGAAAGATGTCAGCTTTTGTTGAATATGCTTTCTACATTCTCAAATTAGTCTTTGGATTTGACAGTCCACATTGAGTATATTTACAGTCACCATTAAACGAGATTGGCATTATAAGTTCAATCTATTTTTGTAGTAAAAAGTGGAAGTTGAAGTTTAATTCCTGACTGTGGAATTGCAGGGGGACAGTCGAGAGGTGGTGGCAGTGAAGGTGGTTGCGAAGAAGACTCTAAACAAGGCATCTACAGAAAACCTGCTCACGGAGATCGAAATCCTCAAGACGATGCGTCACCCACATATAGTCCAGCTAAAAGACTTCCAGGTGATCTCATTTATAGATATTAGATTTGTTGTAGCTTCTACAAGGGATGTGTCGTGAAAAAAATATAGTTCATAAGAGTTAATGAAACTATTCTCTGTATAATTAAACAATGCTATATGTTGATTTAGTGGGCCATGACATTATTAGAAGGCATAGCATGAAAACATTACCCTCCTGGTAGAGATGGCTACAAAATTTGTGTCCAAAAAGTATCCTATGTATATTTGTGAATCCATCAAAATCTTTTTTAATATGTATACATTTAAAACTTCCCCTGATTGTCTGAATTCTTTGCTTTCATCAGTGGGATGCTGAGAATATTTATCTGATCCTGGAGTGGTGTTCAGGAGGAGATCTCTCCCGCTTTATTCGCAGCCGCAGGATTTTACCGGAGAGGGTGGCTCGGCGCTTCCTGCAACAGATAGGTGAGTAATACATTTTCAAGAAATCACTGCAAAAGCATTGGTTCAATATCCACAGCTTCTTTGCGTACCAGTTGTCAGCAGAAATAACATATGTCCCTATTTGATACAAGTTTGTGCTCAGTGCAAGCTTCAGGACTGCGTAACGTGGGCTGAGTGTAACTGTGCATTTGTGTGTGTGTCTGCACAAACAGCCTGTGCCCTGCAGTTTCTTCATGAGCGAAACATTTCACACCTGGACTTGAAACCTCAGAATATTCTGCTCAGCGGCTCTATCCTAAAACTAGCAGGTGATCTTATGCCCACTCACACAGTCAGTCAAGTAAACACATTTTGATTTGTAGGTGATTCATCAGACACCAGAAGAATTAAATCACTGTCATGCTTTTTTGCTGTTATGTCTGCAGAGCAATTAAGTTAACTTTGTTAATGCACAGGCCGTATATTCTTATTATACTTAAACCTTTGACTTCAAACAGTGCTCGTTTGTGTATTTTTTAGAGGGATTGTATCTACTGGAACCTGTTGCAGTGAAAATGTTTTTTACACTCTGATTGGCTCTCAGATTTTGGTTTCGCCCAGTACATGTCACCATGGGATGAGCAGAGTATCTTGAGGGGTTCTCCTCTTTACATGGCTCCTGAGATGGTGTGCCGACGCCAGTATGACTCCAGGGTGGACCTTTGGTCAGTAGGAGTCATTCTCTATGGTGAGTACTTTGTGTTCACCTGTCCAATTTACACTCTGCTTCACATAACCTGTTCATTGTAATGCTGCTTCATTATATGTCCAAGTAACCAAAACACATGCCCATGCACAGAATCTGGTGTAACTGTGTCTTGTGCTGGGTAGAGTCCCCCTTAATAATAATTTCCAATATCTCAACATCACTCTTTTTTTCAATAAAACTAATCAGTCAGCAGGCCCTACGGGTTTGAAAGAGCGTGCTGAGGAGGTTACAAACAAAATTGTGCCATAAATCATAAAATAGCAGCCTGGTTTGCCCTCTTTTTGGTGTCGCACAGTAATTTTACAGTAACAGTGCAATAACATACAACAATAGTTGCATTGTGTGTGGTGACAATGTACAGTACACAATGGGAGGAGTTCTTGTCTGTCCTGTAACTCAAATAGAGTAGCATGTAATTCACAGACTGTTGGCTTAGACTTTCTCACTGCAGTCCAACACTATTCATGTCAACTTACAAGTTTAATGCAAGAGATATTTAAGATAACTAAACTAAGATGTAGGTAGTAGATGGCTGTGCATCAATTTTCATTTTCATTAAAATAATTAAATATCTTTTTGGAATAGTCTGCTTAACATTGTTTGTGTGTATACAGAGGCACTGTTTGGGCGAGCACCATTTGCATCAAGGTCATATGCTGAATTGGAGGAGAAGATCCGGAGTAACCAACCTATTGAGGTAAGTTTTTTTTTCAGCAGTAAACGAGTTCCTCATTAAGGTATTGCTGGACTGAGATAGTCAGCATCCTGCTTAGATATACAAATGACTTGCTGCTCTCACTGGTGCTCTAGAGCAGTGCCATATTTTGGCAAATGTCAAACACTGTATTATGTATAGAATAACATAGATCTGTAAATTAGAAGTGCATAGTACACAGGTATGCTGCTGTATGTCCTGTAATTCTGATTTGCAGTGCCTGATTTGCACAGTGTTTTACCACAAGCGTTCTGGACATTTGTCCTATTAAATATTTTTTGTGTTTACTATGTTGTTTCTATTGTTTCTATTCAATTCTTTTGTATGTTATGTCTGCTTTGATGCAGCAGTTCCCTTTATTCAAGACAAATTTCTCCCAAGGGAGACAAATAAAGTAACCTTGACTTTGATATTTTTAGATGAGTTGCCCTTTTAGGAAAATGGCTAGATGTCAGTTGCATCACAAGTCAGTGTATGAAGTACTTTATTTCATGAAGTGATTGTTTCAGTAACAGTAACACTGTTGGGGTGTGACTGTTTAAAAACAAAAAACAAACATTAAATCTTAAAAACTACATTAAATCATCTCAATATTCATAAACCATCAATCACCTGGAAATGGAAGAAAGAATTAAAAAAACATATTTTTTTTTTTTAACGTCTGAAGTCATCTCTGTTACCATATTGTCCCCTTATAAAATTTTAATGCTCACACTGAATACAGACCATAACTTTACATAAAACCCATTTACAGACTTTTTTCCCTCACTTTATCTGTGAATTGTCACCAGTAAACCACTAGATGGTGTACTTTGACACTGTACCTTTATCTAAGAAGACTGACAGTGGAGATGCTCAGCTGAAACATGAACTTATTTCTCATCTCCAGTTACCTTTCTTAAATTTAAAGGAACAATCTGGGATACAAATGTAGACATTTTAATCGGCATGTAGTATATTTAATTATGACCTGTTCAGTAACACAAAATGTTAATGTCTTCTCTAGAAGTTGAATTAGTGATATGTGTGTAAAAACACCTGTAATTAATATGGCCCAAAGTACTACTTAGATTAGTTTTGTCTTGAGTTTTGTGATACACTGAAATGAAACATAACTGAATGCTGGCAATTAAACATCATAGTTGTGTTTCTGTCCTGATTTGCCCGCTACATACACAAACCAAATGTTAACTACCATTGTGACAGTGAAGGACAACTGTACTTTTGATGATGGAGGGCTTTCAGAACACCTGAATTCTTGTGCCAAACATTAGGCTTGAGCTAAATGGATTGCATTAGCATATGGCCCATTACCCAGGGATTCACAGAGTTTTAAGGTCATCTTTTGATAAAAAAAAAAAAAGAAGAAGAGATGTGAGACGAGAAGGTCTCTGGCAACAGTCTGCTGTCCTTTTCCCTTGGATTGTCCTGTGGATTGAGTGCAACATAATAAGGTCATGCTTTGTGCATCAGCTCCCTCCTGGGGCCAGGGTATCCAAGGACTGCAGAGACCTTCTGTTGCGGCTGCTAGAGCGAAATCCAGATGCTCGGATCACCTTTGCAGAGTTCTTCACCCACCCCTTTGTGGATATGGAGCACATGCCGAGTGCGGAGAGCCTAGTGAAAGCGGTGAGAGAAGAAGAAATAATGGAAGTATATGCTGGCATGTGTGGGTCTACTCTAGATGGCCATGAATAATGTGTGTGTAATTGGTTGAGCCCATATACACATGTGTTAGTAGGTTTATGCTCATGCCTGCTCCACATGTGCCTTCACGCATGACTCTGCATGCATGCATAAGCAATGGAGAGAGCAATGTCAGTTTGCGTTCGGTGATGCCAGTTCCTATTTCCTCTTTTCAGAAGGAGCTGGTCCAGCAGGCCGTTCGGAAGGACCAGGAGGGGGAGAGGTCTGCTGCCCTCTCTCTGTACTGCAGTGCCCTTGAGCACTTTGTCCCCTCCATTCACTGTAAGAGCAACAGCTACTCTCATATCCTGTCTGTGGCTTAAGCCCTTCAACAATGTGCCGTCTTTGTTCCACCACAGTAAACTGGCAAAATAAATGTACTAACTGTAAAATGAAAACATCTCTTCTCTCCGCCATCCCCAGACGAGACAGACCGACAGCGCAAAGATGCCCTCAGGCGGAAGGTAGGCCTGAAAACACTCCCCGCATTCACATTTGGATTACTTTCTTATTTTCAATTGGTCTTTTTTTCACACTCCAGTGGCTTTCATTTGGAATGAATTCTTCTCCATGAATACCATATGGTGTGGATGGAGAGCATATGGCGTGGTTGACATGATTAAGTTGAGTCAATGTAAGAGGACTTCCCACAGGTCAGCCAGTATGTATCGCGAGCCGAGGAGCTGAAAGCCCTGGTGGCCTCAGACAACAGACTGAGCTTTGAGGAGGCCCGGACCGCAAGGGATGTCCTCCGAGGTAATGAACTCATCTCAGTGCAGAGGCAGGGCCACTGTGTGTCGGCAGTAGCCTTGTCTTATCAGGAGCTGTATTACAGGACAACCTGAGTAATGCAATGTGTGTTTTTGCTCTTGGTTTTAATAGTTCATCTTCAGAAATGCTATTTTAGTCATGGAAAAATGCATTAAACTGCTGTATAGCAAAGATGTTTGATCCTTTCTTCTACCTCTTTATTGAAACCTGTGAGGAAATTTTAATTTTCTTTTTCCCCTGCCCCAGAGGTCAGGGTCAGCTACAGAATCTCATTTATGCTTCTCATGATTAAATATTTTCACCCTTTGTACACAATACTAGAGTCTTTAGAAACTGCAGAGACAAAGTATAACATACCTTCTGGTAGAATGTGTTGATGGTTTGTTGAGACTGATATACAGTCGGACTCAAACAAGTGTTTTTTGTTTTCTTTGTACTCCAGAAATGTCTCGAGACCAACCACGGCTGCTGGCTGCTCTGGAGATGGCCTCCACTGCTATTGCTAAGGTTAGAAGGGAGTACCGCTGGATGATGCCACTGCTATACAAATACACACAATAGCAGGGTGAAGCAGAAGTAATACAACAGAAAAAACACACCAGCAGGGTACAAACCAATCCCCTTTCATAGATCGCTTTCCAAACCACGTCTCGTAAGATCAGTGGCGAACCAAAAACATCTTTATTGCGGTTTTGCTCGTCTGACATTTTGTTAGCTGTGCAGACTTTTTATATTTGTGTCTCTGCTGTTTACAGCTTAAATTTTTTGAAGTGAACAATAATGAATAAACTAATTTTGCAACGCTAACAGATTGAAAGAGTTGAACTTTGCAAGTACCAAGTGTTTCTGTTATCAGATGTAAAGCAATGTTTTGCCTCATTTTCAATTTGCCATTATAGGAGGAGAGTGGATCGGACGATCAGGAAGCCCTGGATGTGTACCAACAGTGCTTAGGAGAGCTACTGTTGGCGCTAGCAGGTAGATAGATTAATTTATTTCCCCATGAGATGGTTTTATGTACTTATTCTGTCCTTAACTGCTAATGGCTAAGAGTATACTCCACTGGAGCCCACGGTTTAAGTTCCTAGTGTAATCTCACATCAGATACTGTGTCTGTATTCAGAGACATCACCTCAGACCTCAGGCAGCTGTGTGTGTTTGCACACATTTGTTATCAGAGAAAGAGAAAATAGAGACTCTGAGAAAAGGGTGTTTTTGAAAGGCCACATTCAGTAATCTTGAGGGTGGACACAATGAGCAGACCAGAGAGAAATTCATTTAGAGTTGAGTTACAGTCAGAAACTGAGACAGGTAAAGAAATGGCAGAACAAGAAAAAAAAGATACTCAAGAAAAGCCTGGAAATGAAAGATTAAAAACAACTTTGGGAAAGTAAAGCTTTAGAGATACCTAACTGAAAACAGAGAGAGTGAGGCAGACTCTGAAGAGGACAGAGAGACTTTCACAGAGATAGATATAAAACAGACTCAGAGAAAGTCTCAGATAGATGGAAAATAACTTGGAGTGATTTCGAAAGAGTAGAAGATGAACTGACAGAGTGGAAGACAGAGACAAAGTGAAGGAGCAGACTTGGGAGAGAGACGGGGACACTTAATAAGTGACAGACAGGCACGACAGAAGAGACTCTCTCTGTGGTCTGGCGTCCATTAGGCCGGGCTCATGAGCTCATCTGGAAGAGCAGCCTAATGGAAGAGGTGGAATAGAGTGATCCAGATGTGGCTTAGAGCCGGGATGAGACCCTGTGCCAGCACCCTGTGTGTGGTATGAGCCCTGCCATCTGCTTTCCATTCAGACAGCACACTTCATTTCTTTGTGTTATTACACACTGGAAACAAATAAAAACTATTATCTCTCTAATGAGCAAGAGCTATTGCAGGTCCTTTGAGTAAGAGTTAAAGACTGACACTTTTGACTTGATAGGTTGTAGATGCTACAACCTCGTCCTGTCAGTGGATCGGTAATATATGGTATACTGGTCTAACTAATCCCATGCCATCCTAACCAGCTTCTGTCGGCAGCGTTATGGAGCCTCGTGTGGCACAGCAGATACCAGCAGGGGGATTGCGGGGAGAAAACATTGGTTCTTTGTTTGGCTAAGAGCTCTTTGTTGCACAGCTTCCCAACATGCCTTGCCACCAGAGGGTTCTCCTCCCCTCTCTCTTCCCTCTCTCTTCCCTCTCTGTCGCCCTCCCCTCCAGGATGACTGACTGTGAAAACACTGGCCTACATTAGAATCCACCCTTGAGCCCCCGGTCTACACACGCTAGCAAAATCCAATCTAGTAGTTGATCTCTTCTTGAACAAACAAGGTGATTAGGTAGTGGGCTTTCTCCTCCTTTCCTCTCCTCATTATTCTTTTTTTTTTTTTTTTTTCCTCTTGGTGACCCAGCCGAGCCCCAGGGCCGCAGGCGAGAGCTGCTCCATAATGAGGTGAGTTGGCGAGGAACGGCTTTTGGTTGAGTGCACACAGTAGGAATGACTATCTTTCACCTCCACCAAGCCCTCGGCTGATCACCTAGCACAGTAGACGCTCCATCACATGACCCATGAGCCTTTTTCCAGCAGTCACATGTGCACGCTTTTGTGATAAAGGCCAGATAATGTAATCCATCATCTATATTACTGCTACGTACACATAGATCACTGTCCACTTTGTAATTGGATACTTAAAGTGGCTATAATCATGTCTTTTTTATTATTGACCACGTGACCACTATCAGAAGAGATTCACAGGTAGCGACAAACACAGAATCATCTCCCAACTCTGCAGTTGCCCTCAGCTCTATGAAGTTTTATATTGTCTTTCGGCCCACAGCTTTACTGTTTTTGTTGCTGCTGTGATTAGTTTTTTTCAGTGAAATAGCTCTACAGACCAACTGTACCCAGCAGCAAGCAGCAGAGGGACAATGTTAGCGATAGCCGGTGAACACAGTAGAGCATTTTGCAGCTAAATAGCCTCAGGAGTTGGTGGAAACAAAACAATAATGGCTAAAAGGTGATTGACCAACTGAATACATTCATCACATGGCCAGAGACACGACTGCAAGTGAATGCTATTGTTGCCCTGTATCTGCTGCATAAATAAGCAACTGTTTGCGAACAAGTTGGCCATATTCAGTTAAAAGGTGATATTATGTCAGTGTTGCGTTTATAGCTTGTTTCTGCTGCCCCAAAGTGGCCAGAAAATTAGTTATTGCAGCTTTAAACTACAGATTAAAGGGGACATGCAATGCTTATTTTCAGGTCATACTTGTGTTTTGGGTTTCTACTAGAATATTTTTTACATGCTTTAAGGTCAATTAAAAACATTTTCCTTCTCATACTGTCTGCCTTAATATATCTGTTTTTACCCTCTGTATGAAATGCTCCCTTTTAGCACCTGTCTCTTTCCCCCCTCCTGAAAAAGCCCAGTCTGCTCTGATTGGTCAGCGTTTCCAGGGTCTTCTGCATCTGCACTCTTGGTGTCTCTGCACTGTTATTGTACCCAGGCAAATGCCTGTAACAGAATATCGTAGTACTCTCAAAAATCACAGTTAAAAGCTTTTAAACCAAAATCTTCCTAGGCGGACATATTTTAGCAGGAAAGTGATGCAAAATCAGAGAGAAATTAACAACATCAGCAATCAATCAGCTTGTCTTGTAATTAGAGAAAAAAAACAACCTTGGAGCAGAGTATTCAGAACAGTCTGAAACCTGGTTTAGGTAGCAAAACAGCTTTTTATAAATGATGGCAACAATGGCAACAATAATTAAAAAAACAAACAAACAGTCCTGCCATCCACTTTCTCTTGTCTTGTTGCACTAAGAAAATCTCTCATGTAGACCAGGTCCATGCTGTTGGACACCCACCCGGACATACTTGAATAAACCTCACATTTTGATGGTCCATTAAATTTGCTGGCTGTAAATTTTGGGAATCAAGACCCTGAGTAGTAGCATTGATGTTGCACTTTGACACACACATGCGAAGGCCTTGTGCATGTCTGCCATTAATGCTCAAAAAGCCTTGTGTTTTTGTTTATTGTTTAGCCAGTAACTGAGCCAGCAACAGACAACAGTATTTCAACAAACCCCGGAGGGGGGGTTTGAGTGGGCCTCATAGACCTCCCTATTTGAAGTTTTATGGGTGCTTGTCTTAAGTAAATTCAGATGCGGCTGTAATAATCTAACACAGCATTAGGAAGGCGGGGACGGGGGATTCGATAGAAAGCATGTGTGTATGTGAGAACCCAAAAGAGCCAACACATGCTGCCATGACTGGTCTCCATGTGCGTTCATATCTACTGTAGAGCACACTTTAGCCTTTTAAAGCTGTAATTCAATATCCCAGATTCTCATACGTGAGCCACAGCTTTCATCTATACAGTGTATGTTGATACAGTGTCATTACGGCTAAACGTACGTGAGGTCCTGTTGTTCAGTGTAATGTACCTTAAAACTCTGCAAGTTATCAATAAGTCCCATGAACTGCCCTCCCCTATGTAGATTTTCTTCACATTTATTGTACTTGGTGATTAAAGGGATTGTGATTAAAGTGCTGTGGCTACATAAGGTTGGGGTCAGGCCTGAATACCAAAAACCTGTGGTCGGAATGATTATTTACCGCAACAGATTGGTGTTTTAAAGGGACGTTATGGAAGCCATCAGTGTAGGTCGTCTGTGATTATGACCTTCAGATGTTACTGCAGTAATACCCAAGAGAGCTTGCTTATACTGTGAAATAGTGGTGATATAACTAGGTATGAGGAGCAGCCAAGAACCTTCATGATCACCAGAGGACTGATAACCACAGTAAAGAGCACCCTCAAGCATATGATGACAGCAGTTCCTACTAGCACATGCGTACCATATGAAATGTTTAAAAAAAAAAAAAAAACAGCAAGAAGCACATAAGCAGAGCTGATCACTTAAATCTGATTTTGACAAGGCGTTTATGTCCCCATGTATCTTAAAGTTACTGTGTGTTGACACTGCAGTGTGGGATGTGTCACTGCTGATGGGAATGTCATTATTTCAGTAGGTTTTTGGTCATGAACCAAAATATTGGACAAATAACATCTTGACTTGATGGCGCTAGGTGAAGTGTTAACTGATCACCAAATTTCATTGCAACTTTTCCAGTAGATACATTTTACAATAATACCCCAACCATACAACATAATATTAAAATGGAAGTAGTGCGAAAGGAGAAGGAGAAGTGTTTCATTGGTTGGGAGCCATGAATGTCTGTATGTTATGACAATCCATCCAATAGCTGTTAGGATATTTCAGTCTGGACCAAAGTGGTAGACTGACCAACTGACATTGCCATACTTAGGGTCATACGTGGCTAAAAAACATCAGTAGAACAGCATCATTATCACCAGTACATACGAAAGCACAAGTGAACAGTGTAAATTACATTACATTTATTGGAATTTTCTGTCTCTCACCACCAGATTAAAAGTCTCATGTCCAGAGCTGAATACCTCAAAAAGCATATCAAGGTAAGCATACATTCCTTTCACACACAACCTCAGAAATATGAGTACATTTGCTAGCGCGAACACAGAATATGTTTGATTTCAAAAAGAGATTAGGGGTAAGATCAGGATTTCTTTTTGGATACTGCTATTACTAAAAATTGATGTTGTTCGGTGAAGAAAACCTTTTAGTCCACATACCTGTATTTAATGTCCATGTTGTGCTGTCGCTTTCTTATTAGTTTTGGCTGATTATAGGTATGTGTTTACTTTCCAGATGCAGGAGACTCAGAGGGACGTGTCTCTGGAACGAGAACCTCTTGCGGACTCCGTCAGAAGCTGTGAGTTTCTCTGCTGTTTTGCATAAACTTCTCTGCTGCTGTAGTGAGTGTGTTTTTGAGAACCTCGCAGCCTTGCTGATAAGGTTTGTTACAGGAAGGTAATGGGGGTCATGTGAGGAATGGCCGCCTGAAGTTGCAATGAAATGTCCTTTCATTAAAGGTTTTTCCACTAGTTAAATATGAGCCATTCTCTGTCTGCGCTGGCCACCCCGCGGGACTGTCTGGCTCTTTGATTTCATGTCAGCGCAGCCCTGGGCTGCTCTGCCCTCTTGTAAAGCCTACCTTGTGAAAGTGAGACTTGGTAAAAGCAAAGAGTTAACCTCCTAACACACAAACACCAGACACAACAGCACTCATGGACACTTCATTCTTTTCACATACATGTACATTAGCTTTATATATATCTTAACAATCAGTGTACATTCATGTGTATTCATTTGGTGTTCTGTACTTTCCCGTCTATACGTCATATAAACAAACTACTAAACTTTATTAAAAGCAATGTATTATTGATATAAGTTACATTTTAATATACTTGAACTTCCCTAGCTGTAACCTATACACACAGCCTAATTCCCAGTATTTTCTGGGCTCAGTTCCTGGATGGATAGTGAATACCTAAAGCCCAGACAATATCCTGTTCTCAGCAAGAAATTCCTGGGGAATTATGAATTTAAAAAAAAATGGGGATGGGGGAAGGGCGCCGATTCCCCAAAGTGCTGCTCAAGTTTCACATAGAACGTGGCTCCGTACTCTGCTGCTGTTATTTTAATAAAACCACACCACAGTCAGCCGTACTAGCTGGCGCTGATCTAACAGCAGCTGTACTAGAGAGGGTCATAGCAACGCCCAAGTCTGTCTGTCTGTGACCTTAGACAACAACCAAGAACAAACTGCAATTTTTTGCTGACAACCATCACACTGTAACCCTCAGACAATTTTAGAAGTTAAGCTGCTTTGGTGGCCCAGTTACAATGTCCACAGTGAAGGCTGAAGCACTAAACTCTAACTGACTTAAATTTACTTCACCTGCTTGATCAGCGTAAGTGCCTGAAAAGTCAAGGACTCAAATTCTAATCACAGGTATTTCCATGGCTTGTAAACTTTGATGTTCATACTCGGCAAAAAGATTGGGATCGGTTGGAATTGTATTATGGGAAATGTAGGAAATTGGTGAGTAAAGTAGAAGTCAACAGGATAGGTGGAGAGAAACAGGACATAGAGAAATGTAAAACCATTAGGATTAGTTTTCCTTTGAATATAAAATTGTACAAAACAGATTTGGAAAATATTTTTCTTGGAGGTAGCCTTTGCTCGAGAGAAAAAAATTTGTACATCGGCTCAACCCTACCCTCCACTCAAAAATGTCTCTGTTTTATGTTTATGTCCCCTAAAATGTCTGACCTTGACTTTATTGACTTGTATTTTTGCTTCGTGTGTCACTAGGGAGGTGTTTTAACGTTTCTCTGTGCACTTCCCTAAAATTTGAGATTCAAATGTATGCCAGGCAAGCTAGATGATAGGAGTGGGGGAACAAACGTCAATACAACACCAGCAAAGAAACCTGAAACATCCAGTGCAGATCAAGTTTGTCAGTACAGAGAGCAGAGTTAGCATTAGCACAGGGAAAGTTTTGACAGCAAATGTGGTAGAGTGTAGTTTTTAAATGTAAAACAGACAAATGTGAACACACTGTAACACTGTATCAGATATTATTGTATGTTTTACAACCCCTAATGCTGCGTCAGCCACTTCCAATTCCAAGCTAACAAGCTAACAAACAACATAAATAACAAATAAAAGATGCTAATTACATGTATCACTCTGATACATCTGCTAGTCACTGATTTTGGTGCACAACGGATTCCTCAGTTCATACACATTTTCCACCAAATTAATGCATGTACGTGCATTTTTTAAACACAGGACTACTCGCTAAAAATAGGCTATAGACTTCTTTCCCATTGCCAGTAGACTAGAGCTGTGTACATGGCTCTGCAGCAGACAAGCATGCCTCTCTGTGTATTTTTTCTTACTGGTGTGTCATGTTCGATGTCATGGACAGGCTGAAAAACTGGTTAGTAAACAGCAGAAAGCAGCATGGAGGCCAGTGAAAGATATTACCATGGTTACATCTTTTTTATATCTTACTTATTCAGGCTCTCTTTCAAACTCTGTGCCGACTAATTTGGAACAATGTTTGAGTGCTGCTTGGGCGGAAATGGACGGTATGCGCTAAATTTAGCGCATTCACCTGGGTGTTATATTTATATTGTGGCCAACAAATACCCATGATTACTGCAGAGCCATTTGATGGGGGTGTGAATGCCAATAATAACCTCTCCCATTACATAGAAAAGTCAGTTATTAGTGGGCATGAGTGGGTTTTTTGCAGTGGGAAAGGGGCTTGGTACTGGGTCCAACTGTTTCCTGTAATGCTAATGCTAGCCATCTTGCTGCCCCCTGCGCTTTCACTGGTCTTACTACAGCAAGCAGTGATGGTGGGACGGGTGGGAAGCCAGTTTTTTTTTTTTTTTTACTTTTTATGTGCCAAAACCATGTTAAACAAAATATGAATCACAGCAGAGTATTTTTACATTCTTTGAAACATGTCTGAAGTAGAACTTTAAAATTGGCAACGTGTTATAATCTTGAAGTGAAGCCTCACGCACATCAATCATTTCTGTTTTCACAGCTTGCTGTTTGCAGTGAGCTTGACGGCCACCGTGAGAACTGGCTGCTACGCCCCACAAAGCATCAGACACAGAGCCTTCACCTGACCAGGTTTTTTTTTTTTTTTTCCGAGGCCAAATCAAACCCGCATCACACCTCACCCTAACTAACTCAGAACGCTGTCCGGGTGGGATATTACAGTTGCCAGCCAAACGTGGTCACTGTTTTGGTTGTTGCTGGAAAGTTGATGATTTGGCAGGCTGAGAAGTTGTGTTTATACTTTTTGAGGGAAAAAAAAGTTTGGCTGAAATACTGAAAGTAGCTCTTGAATTTTGGATTTGCACACTGGTGAATGTGAAAGTTAGTTCCCTGCTCTTTACACGATGTTGTTCCTCAGCCTCAAATCCCTCCTCCTGATACACCATTGATATGTAAATGCTGGACAGCTTGTGTGACAATACCACACTGTCATGGTAAGCGAGTTAAACAGAGATTGTTGCATTTATTGTTGTGCCAATCATTCAACAGTGTTTGCAGCACACCTAAAAACTGTGAAAACCTGAAAATACAATCAGATAGGAACTATGACGTCAAGAAGTATCACATCAGTTTTGACCTGTAGTATTAAGTATATTGAGGCTCTGCAAACATGCACATACTCCCTCACCCTCCCTTCACCACTGCCTTTACTGTGGGTCAACCACAGGCTCACCATGCTCTCTCCGCTGATGGAGCGCTCTCCACCACTATGAGGGGAAAACTGGAGAGGTGCGGCCTCTGCCATATTTACACTAGACTTGCATTTTCTTAGGTTTGGCACTGGCAGGGTATTTGAGGGATACAGTGAGTTGTAGCGCTCAAGCAAAGCCTTCATAACTAGGCCTCTGTGAAACGGTAAAAAGCTTAACAGCCGGTGGCAGTCGCTGTTGTAGGTCTCCACACACTGTTTTCATTTCAGACGGGTAAAGTGCTTGAATATCCAAAAGGGAGCTTTACTTTGTGAATCCAATTTTTAAGGCAACTGGAGAAAAATACCTGTAACAGGAGTCAAAGGAGAAAACTATGAATATGTCTGCCGGCGAGATCTCCACACTGCTGTCTTGTTTTCTTTTTTATTTGAATGTTTATACAGCTGTGATTTTATATTTTATGTATTTATTGAATGAGAGATTCAAAGGAAAATAAAATGGCAAACTCTGAAGCCTCTCTAGTCTGTAACTTCTTCAGTCGTTTTGTCAACAGAACGAGGCAAATGCTCGTCTCTCAGAAGCTATGGAAAGATTTATGTGCCACCGTGGGAGCAACGTTGCTGGTGCCTTGCCTTCGTCATCATCTTGAAGGCCACTCTGCTGAAACAGCTGGCTTATGTCCACAAGAGGAGGAAGGCAGGCAAAATAAGGACATTTGATAATTATATGATTCCTATGGAAGTCTGGAAAACTATGGAAACTCAATTTGAAAATTTCCAGATCATAAAAACCATGGGAATTTCACTGAGACTCCGTTACTAGTATAAGATTTTTTTTTTCTTTTATTGCCCATGACTTTAAGTAGAAATCAAGTTTCTCAAAAAAAACCTGAAAAGCAAGAACATGAACCTGTTTGGATAGATGGAAGAACACTGGATTAGCGCTACCAATATTAGGAATAGCAGAACATATTAAGTCAGATAATTGAATTTAAAGGTGCACTCCATCAATTTTAGACAGAGTGATCCGTTTACCAGTCATGGTTAGCCCTACTCAACCTGTGAAAACAGTTTAAAGGTTTCCTGATGAGGTCATAGTGATGTCATCAGGGTTATCTGGGCTTGGAGACTACAAATATATCAAACAAAAAGCACGTGTTGCACACTGGAGGTGTAGAGTTTGATAAATGTAGATGTTTACTAGGCAGAGTTGCATTATGGGAAATGTAGGAGCCAATGTTTTGGGAGCTTGAACCACACGTGGAACTAAAATTCAGGATATTTCAGCCTCTGCTACTTTGATTTTGACTATTCTGTTAAAAAAAAAAAAAAAAAAAAAGTCTTTTGAGTCCTCAACGTTCATGGCCTCATCCTGGACAGTGATGAGACTGCATACAGACCGGAGGTTGAACAGCAGGCTCTCTGGTGCAGTTAAAACAACCTGAAGCTGAACACACTTAAAACTGTGGAGACGACAGTGTACCTCAGGATGAGCGCTGCTGAACGGCACTGTGTGTACTGTGGAATCCTTAAGGTTGCTTAGATCCACCATCTCCCAGGACCTTAAGTGAACATCCAACATCAACGCCATCAGAAAAAAGGCCCAGCAGAAGATGTGCTTCCTGCACCAGCTCACGATATTTAACCCACCTCAAGAGCTGCTGATAGAATTCTCCACGGCAGTAAGAGAGTCTGTTTTCTGCTCGTCCATCGCTGTCTGGTTTGGATAAGCCACCAAACTATAACAGACTGTCAGGACTACAGAAAAAAAAATCATCGGTGCCAACCTGCCCTCCATCCATGACTTAAGCATGTCCACAGTCAGAAAACAGGCAAGTGGCATCACCGCAGACTTTGGGTACAACCTGTTCAAACTTATTCACTCTGGTAGGCAATACAGAGCACTATATAGTAAAACAACCAGAAACAAGAATAGTTTCTTTCCACAGACATCACTGTGACAGCAACACCAGGCCTTAGTGTCAAAACTAACCCTGTGGAACACCCTATAACCTGATAACATCCAGCACCCACCCTACCATTAAATTATATATTTCTGTAGTTTATATACACACTGTTAACATGTAAATATCTGTCAAACATAATTCAAGCCCACTGTACTTAGTCGACAAATGTTTATAGCAGACACCTTGCTTAGCTTTGTTATCCTTATTTTTTAGCTGTACGTCAGTTCTGTGTACGCACATTGAGAGCAACATATGACTGAAATCAAATTCCTTGTACTTGCAAACATATTTATCCAACAAAGCTGATTTGATTTAGATTCTGACCCCCTTTAAATAATGATTTAAAAAAACAAATAAATAAATACATAAAATCTGGTAAAATTATTAACAAATTTGGGGGAAAATGCATCTAGTTCTTAAAGGAACAGTCAGGAAGATTTAGGGAGATAAGTGGCATCTAGTGGTGAGGACTGCAGATTGCAACCAGGTGAAACTTCCACAGGTTAGAACTCCTTTGGTGTTCATTGTTCAGGTGTTTTTTTTTTGTTTGTTTGTTCGTTTTTACCTGGAGCTGAATTATCCACAGGTGCTCTCTTCCTCTTTAAAAAAATACCCTGGTTATTTAAACTGGTAAAAACACTAAAAAAAATAATTTCACATTTCAAATCAGTGTTTCTCCTTCAGTGTTAGTTAGCCCAGCATCTGTTGATGTGCGCTTTTTTCTCTGTTAACTTCGGGAGGTTTTCACTGGGAGCTGTGTTTGCAGATGTCTCTTCCTCTCCAAAACAAAGGGATCCAGTAATTTAAACTGGTGAAAACAACTTTCATATTAAAACATCAGTGTTTTTCCAGTGCTCTTGTTGCAGAGGAGCTGCTTACTATGGTGGCTGATGTTTAAAGGAGGAATAGTCCTATCTAGAATCAGTGTTTGGTTTGTCCGTTTGTCCGGTACACCATGGCAGTCTCTGTCGATGAGGACTTGCTTCCTGTGTAGATATAAACAGCTCAATCTAAAGTAATGAAAACAATGATTCATATGTTCAGTAGATTATTCACTAAAGAAAACATATCTAAATTATATTCCATTTCTGCCAGTATATCCCCTAAATCCTACACACCGGACCTTTAAATCAATGAAAGACAGAGTGTGGCTCTTGCCTGAGGTTTAACAAGTGGTTCTCAGATCTGCCCAGGGCTCACAGTAATGTTTGTTTTCTGCACTACCAGCTGGTTAATCACATTCACCTGGCACGCCAGGTGTAAATCACTCCCACACTATACGGTGAGAGCAGCATGGCCCCGAGTCTTGGAGCAACGGGACAGAGAACTACAGGGTGCTGCATTTGTGGCTGCGCTATGGAGGGGGCTCTAATTGGCTGACGGTTCCCATGGTGTTGGCTCAGTTTCATTGCTTTAATCATGACATGAGCATGTTGCTGCCAGGAAAACTTTGGATGCAATTTTGACCCTTGTGCTTGCTTTGTTGCTTGTTTCTGGGAGTTCTGCCAGTGTATATTGCCCCCCAAAATTGCATAGAATCCTTACACTAATGCAACCCAGAGAGGGAGACTCTGAAATGGAAACATTAACCCACCACCCTCATCCTCCAAAACACTCCCCAGTCCCCTCTCCCTAACCACATCCTACAGCATTGTGGCTTTAATTGGCCTCCATTTTGCTGCAGCTCCAACAACACGACTTATTGGCCTTTCCCCTTCCAGTCTCTCTCTCTCTCTCCCCATCTCTCTCTCTCTGGCTCAGTTGACACTGCTAATGGGACAGCAGTCGAGTCATATTGGCATCAACATCACCCATAAAGAGGGGTCTCTATGTCCTAGACCTGAAGGAACTGGGTGCCCTTGACTCCAGCACCCCTCCGCACTGAAAACAGAGAGCAGGTCAGCCATTCAATGTGACTCGATGGCTATCATGAATGGAACATTGTACCTATGAGAGACAAGAGCCTCCTAAATCCCGGGGTCACTCCCACTTTGGAGCAGGGAAGAGAGAGTGGGAGTCGGGGGGGGTTTGTTTCAGAGAAATGTTGAATAAAGATAATTTAGAAAATGGGCTCCAGCACAGTGCTGCCTCTGTATCCCCCTGTTCCCTCCACACACTCAACTCCCCAAGGCTGCTCTGCTCATGTTTGTTTTGATTTTGCTCCCAGAATCGGGGTGGTGGTGTTGGAGGGGGGTTTGTAGGGGGCGGGTTGGTTATGTTGGAGGACTTAAAGATGCATGGCAATGGTTAAGACAGATTGGACCAAAGGCAATCTAAGTAAACTAGAGGGAGTCATGCTATACTGTAGCTGTAGGCCACTTTGTTGCTCTGTCTCGCTGTTTTTATGACACAATAGACAGTTGGAAGTGCCCGAGGATTCCTGTGGTTAACGGGAAAAAATCAGGCAAAGCTGTGGAGAAGTTCTCCCCAGGCTTGTGGATGTTGAAATTTGCCACCTGTAGCTCAAGTAACAACCTTGTAATTGCTCATCACATGTGCGTCTATCATGTCACGCAATCCTGGGGACATCCTGGCAAATATGGCTCATAGAGACATGTCTTTTTTTTATCAAAGGATAGTTGCAGCAGTTGACCTGACAAGTATCTGTTTATTAAAATAACTAAGCAGAGTGACATAAATGTTTTTTTCTTCTGCAAGAAAGAGAAAGGAGCTTGACAAAAACGTGAAAGGCATGTTTAACAGAATCTGTTCCCTCTTGTCCTAAATAAACTTTTTCTCTCAGTTTGTTAATGTTCGTCCTCTTGCCAAAGCACTTTTGTACTTTTTGGACGTGACTAAAGCTACATTTGCAAAGCAGGTGTACACCTCACACCTAAATGCGAAATGGCTCTTTTACAATTTGTTAATGACTTGTAAATACCAAAGTAAGTGTGGAACAAGCCCCAAATGGCTGCTTGCTTTGAAACAGTTGGTTCATGAGCGTTTTTGATCATTAGCAAAGATGTAAATATCCTGAAATGTCCTTCTGATACTACGATCACTTGACATGTTTCATTTACTGTGCCTCTGCCTTCTTCTAAAAACATGGTGGTTTTATTACAGCTTGAGCCTGAATTGTGAGAGGAGTCCTGATTTATCTTTTTGCTCCAATGTGGATGGATTGCACAATGACTAGACACTTAAAATTCCTCCCCAGGTTTCAGTTACACTGACCTAATCCTTTAAATATTGCACAGTGAAACATGGCCACATGCAGTGCTTACTTTGGAGTGACCTGTCTGACTTGAGAATGACATTTTTAAACAATAACCTCAGCTTTTTTGGCTTTCAAATACTGTACGTTGACCCTTAAAAAGGCAAGGTATAAATATTTTATTAGTGAATGTAATATACCCAGAGGAACCAGTCTTTAGGAAGTAACTGATCTTTTTACTTTCTTTTCCAATCTCTCTGTGGACAAATCACATCATTACACAACTTTAGCTCATAAACATTTTATTATAAAACTCACCCTCCCGCACGGAAGACGCCGCTCTGAAGTATTTACTGCTATGTTCCCACAAGATGAGATGAAAAACTGCAAACTCTAAATCAAGTCAGGTTTTGTGTGCACAAAAATCTGAGCTACGTTCATGTGTTGATAATCTGTGTTAAGTGACCTCGGGCAGACACTGGCTTATTTTACTGCATATAATTGTAAAAATATATACAATTCATCGTATTCTAGCTTCATAACTTAACATTTAGCGACATTTTTCAAGACTTCATTACAAAACACAAGGATTAGTTTTGACACAGTTTCAAGTGGCAAAGACACAAACTGGCAGCTTTGTTACAAGTGATCAATACTAACAACAACACTGAGTTTTCCTTCCCTTCTTGCAAAACAGCTTCATGTGGCATTGTGGATGAAAGACGTAAGACTGAAAGATTGCTGTTTCGAATAGATGGACTTGGTCTGGACCTTGGGACAGGTTACATTTAAAGATGTTAGATGTCCCATACTATTTCAATAACTGAATTTGCGGATTGACCAACATTGAGCGCCGATCTGATACCATGGTGTTAAAAAATAAACAAAGGCTGTACAGCTACTACTAACCATGTGTGGATGTGAAGGGATTGCCCATTTTGCTAATAGCCAAGGGCGTAGCACCAAAGTAGTCTCTGAGCGTCCCCCTTCCTTTCTTTCTTTTCTTTTTTTAGAACCCCAGTTTCCCTTTCTTGGGCAAAGACGTGGCAGTGTATGTTGTTTTCAGGCAGCATAAGCAGTTACTCACTTGGTTCAAGCTACAGTTAAAGACAAACTCTAGTGCAGGGGCAACTACAACATTTTGCACCTTTTATCGCAGTCCATTTATTCAGCCAGTTTTAATTTGGTAATGCTATTATGTAGTCAGAAATTTTTAAAAAATGCAAACAAAACCAGACTCTTCATTCCAGGCTTTTTGTGGGGCCTCCTTCCCACTGGGGCCCTGGGTAATCAGCCCCACTTCCCTCCACTATTCTCAGATGCTCTGAAACAGTAGTTACCAGTGGCTGCACGGTGCGCCTTGCTGCGTAGGCTACAGTTTTAGAGCAGCAAAGAAGAGCTGATTTCATTGGAAAACTATAAAATTACTTTTAAGTTTATCAATAACTTACATGGTATCGGATCGGTGCATAGATTTACATACACATATTCCCAATCTAGCATTTTAGGCAGTATCAAAGGCATTTCCGACCCTGATATCGGTATCAGAACAGCTCTTCTAACATTGGCCCTGTTGGCTGCTCAGTAGCCGGACAAAGCAACTACAAAAATAAATGTGATGAATTGTTCTGGAACACTTAAAAACACACAAAATAAAAGCCTTCAAAATACAGGAAATTGTTGAATTGAATTCCATCTTTTTGTTTTAATTGTTTTATCTGGATTTGTGCATTCCTTTAGAAAGCACTTAGTGACCATCCTGCACGTTAAAAGCACTCTACATGAAGCCTAGTACACCTCTTGGTTAGTTAGCAACACTGTGACACAAAATATTTGACATACATTCAATCCACGTTTGACCGTTCAAGCCAGACTACTGCTCATGGGTGAGTATGTTGTTGCTGATGCTCACACACTGTTGTGACACTGCGATGTTCACTCATCATGGTGTTGCTGCTGCAGTGTTACCACACTGGAGATTCATTGATGGAGACTATGACCTCATGTTGAGTCCGACAAGCCTTAATATCCATAAAATGTGCTTTGCAACAACTTTTATTCAAACCAGTTTGTTTAAAAACGTGTTCACTCACATATATCACAGCTAAGACGTGTCAGACCAGCTAAACCTCTCATCATGAGCAGTGTTGAGGATAAACTCCAGGTATATGTTGACCTGTTCACACCAGCGACACACGGCCTTTCCTGGCTTGTTGCTACAGTGTGAAAGCAGTAATAAAGACAGGGGTCTTTTAAAGGCGTGAAAGGGGGCAGGCAGTAGAGAGGAGGAAGAGGGGGTAGGGGTGTCTCAGGAAAAGTTCAATAAAACAATCTCACATGGGGGAGGGGCTCCAGACAGAGTGCTGGAGAGGCGCTTCAGTTAATTTCAGTACTTGATCCCACACCCTCGCCTGTCCTTTGACTATTCCCACAAATATTTGAAGTGTGGTTGCTGCAACAATGCAGAGGCCCCTGAAATGGAGAGCAGAGCAAACAGAGACTGGATGGGTCCAATGTTTGTCTAAGGTCTTAATAAAGCCACACTCCAAGTACCATTGAAACCAAACAAACAGGAGCTGTTTAAAGGCACTCAACTTGGCAATGCCCCGCAACAAAGTCTGGTGTGGTTCACCTCCTCTCATCATCACCTTAAAGTGTTGATGCCATTTTTGCCGACAGGTTTCAACTTAGCAAAAAAAAAAAAAAAAGGTGAGCAGTTCACTCAGAGCACTGTAAGGCCATCTGTGTGAAGATCTGAACACAAATTTAAAAAAGCAGGATTCCTGAGTGAGATGTGCTTGAAGAAGAATTACTATGCAAATTGTATGGTTGTGGAAAGCAAACACTAATCACTACTGTGCTCACTGTTGCACTCCAACTAAAATGGAATAGCAGGGAGGCCTGGGGGTGAAAAAATAGCTTCCCTTATCCAGCAGACCTGGGTTGGAGTCCTGTGCCAGCAAGCCGGCCCAGTTCCATACTGTAGTGTGTTTGATCAAGGCGCTGATACCAACTCCAGCTGGACTCTGAGCTCCCTGGTGGAGTCTAATGAACAGAGATTTTTCCACACCGTCATTTATAAATCCAACAAATGCTTCAAGTACCCATTGTCTCAATACAATATCCGTGCTAGAGGAAGAAACAGGAGCATCATGCAGCTGGATAACCTCTGGGGAGCAGAGGAATGATCAGTATACACCTCCTCTCTGTCATTTTTAGGGTCATAGTCTTCATCCTCATAGATGTCATCCACATCAGGCTGGTCTGAAATAACAATGTGGTCTCCTATGGAGCAAAGTTTGCTCATGTTCTCCTTCACCACTTCACAGAAAGGCCTCTCCACCCCATCACAAACACAGCGGTTGAGCAGCATGCCATTTGGGATGAACAGCATCTGCTGGATGGTGGCTTTACACTTGGAGGAGCACTTCCTGCCATTGAACAGCTGCCCGCAGTATGACAAGTAGGCCGTGAGGGAGGTGTGGCAGTTGCTGTCTTCCTCGCAGCGCTGCCGGGCCTCCATGCACCCTATCCCCCCCGCATCGCTCGGGTGTCTGCGGGGGAGACACGGCTCTATGGCTCGCTTGGCGCTGAGGCACTCCAGGTCCTGTGCGCAGTCGCAGGTCTCCAGGTCCGGCCCGCTGCGGGTGTGATTGAGCCTTATCAGCGCGTTGATGCAGTGGCTGGGACACTGTCTCCTCGTCCCCCTGATGTTACCTTCACAAGCTGCTAAGTACTGACTGTATGCAAGGTCGCACTCGGGCTCCTCGTGGCACCGAAGGAGCGCCTGCCAGCAGATTAGCTGGGCATCTAAGGCCACCAGCACCCATGGGAGAAGTGCCAGGGCGCTGCACCAACATTTCATGCTTGGATGGAGTTCTAGTTCGGTGACGTGCACTTTCTCCACCAGCACATTAGGATCAGGACAATGTAAACGCTGAATCTCACAGACTGGAGTTCATAAGTATTCCATACATGCAACACATGAGTTAGTTACCAACGCAGTCGAAGAAAATACACTTGGTCCTTTATAAATGATCCACGGAAACTTGCACGCAAGTTAAGTTTGCCTCCTCTTGGTGAGTTTTGTAGCAGTGGAGGTCAGGATCTGACTCAGGGAAATCTCCACGCGTGGCTGCAAAAAAGAAACAGCGCAGTAACAGTCATTCCGGGAAGCATGTCCGTTCAAAAGTGGGAAATCATACTCCAAAGTGTAGCCCGTGTCTGCTCCGTGCCACCGGTGCACATCTGAGATGGACACTGAAACGCGCCGCAAGGCTATCCAAAGTTAACGCGCACTCTAACCACAGTTATTGTCCACAACTCAGTTTGTACACTTGAATTCATCTTTCTTGCCATTGTTGGTTTCGACTTCTCTTCCCAGCTCCACCACTTTTAACATCCATCCGCACATTCCGATGTTGTTGTTTTTTTTAGTTGGAAGAGGTTTCTGTCTGTCGCATTTTGTCCCGCTATGCGCGTCTTTGTCCCTCTCCTTGCTGTTACGCTTCACGGTCCGCCGAGCATTTCCCCACAACACCCCTCCTTCTGTCGAAAAAAAGAAAGAAAAGTTTTCCTTCCCCCCTCTCTCTCCCTTTCTCTCTCATTTACAATCCTGGCCACCGATTGGTCTTCATTGAGGAGTCAGCCGTGGGACCCATTTCCAGGCCTACAGCAACACAGCTCTGCGCACAAATCCTCTCACTACATGACGAGATAGGCTGGATAAAAATGTTTATGATTTTCCTTGCATGAAACCAAAGATCTGTGTGGTCCCCTCTCCCCTTGTAGCAAAACACAAGTTTAAGGGGGGAGGCAGGGGGGGCTTGCAAAACGCATTCCTTTGCAAGAAGCTCACATCTGCAACTTCACTGCTCCAATTTTCAGCGCGGAAAAACAAATCTGTTCCTTTTTAGCCACAAACAGAGCAGGAGGAAACCTCTGTGATAACTGGCTCGCCGTTGAGAGTTTTCACTCAAAGCTTCTCGCTAATTGTGGCTCTTTCCCCCACTCCCCGTCCTGCCTCTCATTCTGCAGAGTTTTAAAGCCCCGATTGATAGAGGAGAATGGGAGAGAATAGTATTTTCTGGACCGTTTCACCCCAATTGTGTCAGATTGGCCATGCAGTGGCCCAGTGTCTTTCCAGGCTGAAGATTGTCCACGCACTGCGGCCTATCAATAGAGAGGGGTTTCAGCATCAATATATTTTACAGCTATCCCTTTTCACACCACACTTGAGAACTACCAACAGCCCAGGCTTTGCTGCCATTCACATGGTAACTAACTTGATTTTTAGGGTTCAAGCCACGAAAGGGCAGAATCTTAGTGAGTTTGTTTCGGTTTGGTGTTATTAGAATAATAACAATAATAATTATTATTATAATTATAATTATAATTACAATGATTATAATTATAATGGTCATTTGTGTCTAAAGCCGCAGCTGAAGTTGCCATTAACTAGAATCCGTTAAAGACATTTAATTTGTCCCAATAACTGGAAATGATGAGGAAGTGTTTCCCAAGAAATATGACTCCAATCGGCCACATGGTGGCGCTTTAATTAACGCCCCAAAACGCGATTTTGGAAAGGCCACGGCCCCCACAACGCAAATCCATTGACTTGAAGTTTAGGACAGGTATCTAATTCAATGGGCTCCACAAGAAAAAAAAACAAAACCTCGAAAATCTGTAATTTTTGCTAATTTGCAGAATGTAAAAAACACTTTTATTGTTGTTATTATTATTATTATTATTATTATTATTATTATTACTCTATTAACACGAAATTTGCCTCATGGCTTTATGGGACCGAAGCACTAATTTCCATTATAAATAAGAAAAACTGGTAATAAAAAAAAAAAAAACATGGTTGCAATTACTCAAAAAGTATTGGCAAAGGGCGGGGTTTACACAAAATAACTTATTCATTTTAAATGTTAAAGCTCTTGTGGTGGGTTTATTTGTATTAATATTTCCAGCTATATTCACTGATATTGAGTTTAGAAATTCAATAGCTTAGGGGTCAGTTTGAGAGATAGTATATTTAAAATATTATTTTGTTCATTTTATTAGTTTTGAATTTAATTGTATGTATTTTTTTTAAATGAAAAATTCCTTGAATTTGATTGTTTAATTTTTTTTTATTATTTTAACATATTCTTTTAAATACGTAATCCCGTCATTTTATGTATGCTGCATGGGTGTGTTGGCGCCCTCTGGTGGACATCAGCAGGAACTACAGGCAGCGCTTCAGACACAAATACACAAAATGTCTACAGTTTTTTCCTCCAATTTTATTATTTAAATCGAAATGTACTGTTCTGATATACTCACCCAGCCCCGTTTGAATTCAAGTAAGATATTTGTTTTTAAATACTAAATCCATTTGTTGACATTAATTTTTATTTTATGTCATTATTTTAGTATATTCATTTTAACTCTCTTTAACCGAATTAGTTTTACCTGTCAGCTTCTGGTTTCCGTTGTATTGGCGTCCTCTAGTGGACAACAGGAGGAACTACGAGCAGAGCTGCAGACTCAATGCTGAAGCCCTTGTACTGTATGTATTTATAATTTCTGCCAGCCGTATTTACTGATATTGAGTTAAAATATTAAACTGTGGGTAAAACTGCAGTTCAGTGTCTAAAATATGCATATAAATAGAATTAGACAGTATACATGTGTATTAAAATATATATGTATTGTATGGACCAAAGGTGACAAAAAGACCAGGATAGATAATGCAGTGCAATACAAGACTTCTACAACAGCACTGCTAAAATATATATACCTCTGCAAAGTTTATTTCTATGTTTGCTTTTGTTGACAGGACCTCAGTGCTAAAACATATAATTTAATACACAGGTGCACCTAATAAAGTGGCCACTGAGTGAAAACACAAACATACCCAAATACTTCCCTTCATGTAGGCTTTCAGTACACACTCATATATATGGACTATTTGACTCTATCACTGCGCTGTTGCTTCAGAATGAGGATGTAAAATTGTATCATTTATTTTTTAATACTAATTCATCTTAACATCCCATTACTGACATGTCATTCATAATCAGTTTGTATCTGCAGCCTCCATCTTGGATGCTTGTGTAGTTGTGACATGGGCGGATTATGAGACAATGGACATATGGGCAGAGAAATGCAAAGGGCCCCAACACCTCTCCTACTTTGGAGCAAGAAACACAGACTTTGTGGTGGTCTTGTGTCTCCTTGTGGTTATTTTTGTGTCTTTTTGACGTCGTTTCGGTCTTATGAGGTATTTTTCTGTCTTATTAAGGTAATCGTGTGTCTCTTTGAAGTCATTTTGTGTCTTTTTGGTTATTTTTGTGTCCGTTTGTAGTCTTTTTGTGCCTCCTTGTGGTCGCTTTGTATCTCTTTGTAGTTATTTTGTGTGTCTTTGAAACTCCTTTGCATCTCTCTGTGGTCATTTTATATCTCTCTCTGTTGGTTGCATGTGGATTTGAGTGGCATTTTGCAGGTGAAGGCCACAGGGCCCCCAGGCACTTTGAACCTGGGCCTGTGCCCAGTAGGCCTGTTCAGTAATCCATCCATGAGATGTGAATGTATTATTGTCTCCACCTGGTGTTCTGGCTGCTGCAAATGTAAGACTACTGATGACTCGGCATCAGCCCTGTGCAAAAATCACACAAAACAGACAGAAAGGTCATTATCCTAAAAATTAATTTATTGCAGTTAAAACTCAGAAGAAAAAAAATCACCAAAATACTTTAAGAGACAGAATGATAGAGATACTGTCAAACAAAGAAACGGCTAAAGAACAAGAAGAAACTGCGTGTCATGGCAGCCATTTCCTGAAAACTCAGTCCCACGGGATAACAACACAAAATAATTACACTTGTATATTATTAATACTGAGTTATGAATTCTTATTTCAAGTCATACACACTCAAACAAAGCAAACAGTTTTCTTTATGGCTTCTGTTCCACCTATTAATACTGTCTCATGATCAAACATGACAGATTTTAGTAGCTTTATTATAAAAGAACTTATTGCAACTTTTCCTCTGCTTTAAGTTATTGAAATGTTTCAAATATACTGCTCGTCTATCACATGACAACAACCACTGGACTGAAATGTGACACATACAGCAAGAAAATTCCACTTGTCTTAGAGAAAACAGTCAGTAACTTTTTGCCCATGTTTCCTGTAAAATAAAATGTGTACTCTTAGGATGCAAAAGGTTTATAATCATAAAAAGAAAAGTGGGGACAGATATGAGATCGAAGCTGACGTCACCCTCAGAGTCACTGCTACATAAAATCAAACACTGGCAAAATGTAGCGTATATGGATGTAATACAACAATAACATTCCCTCTGGATTCACCCACGCCTTCACTTATTGGCTATAAAACAACACAGACAGAATACTGAGTTACGCAGCAAAGCCCACAGTGACTGTGTGCTGTCTACGACCAGCACTCTCAGCCACAAGACAAGTTTTATTTTTACAAAGACACCACGTGACGTAACACATCGGCTAAACAACATGAATCCACCAGCACAGAACGGCACCACTGAGACGCAGGGCTCGATGAAATGGAGGACAGGTCAAAGGTCATGTGACGACACGAGACCCAGTGAGTCGATGAAAACAGAGCGAAGAATGACCCGCAGATACATTTACATCTTACACGACATGAATATGTGGATTTATATTCACACTACAGTTACACAGTTTGACATGTTTGTGCCATTTCCTTTCTGTTGTGTTTTCAACAAAGGCTTTGGCATACGACTTCTAAAGCATTTACATTTCTCTCATCTGAGCAGCTTTCGTTTTTTAACCTCTGGATGCAGCACAAACAGAGATTTATTTGCACCCTATGTGGTTGATGCTAGGTTCAGTTTGGGAGCACGGATATTGTACACACTTTAACTGTAAATTCTTACAACATACAAAACGCAGCAAATCTAAGACATAATTTCTGCCTGCTCACACTGTATTTGTTGCTTTTAATAAAACTAAAAGTAAGCAATCTCCTGCAGAAAAAAACAACAACAAGAAGGCCCGTCTTCGTAAAAAGTAGCTTACAGATGTTGGAGCTCCAGAGAAGACAACCTTGTACGGACGTCCAAGGCACACTGAAGTACGATAAAAGCCAAAAAAAAAAATCTTTCTAATGATATGTCTAGGTAAAGATTAAGCTAAGATTAACACAGCTCACTGGGAGCTTTCATCAGGGCACCAAAGGGCCAACATTAGTAAGCTACTTAAGACAAAAATCTGCCTCATTCAGTGTTCTAAATGAATATTGCCCATTTAAAATTCCCCAAATTCAACATAACACACATATGGCCTCCTCACATGAGCCAATGTTCACCTTGTGCATGTGTGTTTTCATTTCCACCAAGCAGCTGATCTCAGCGATCCTCCTCTCGTCAGAGGTGTATGTGAGATCATCTGCTGTGTGTTTGGAAGCAATGAAAACCTGCACACGCACACTCCTGAACCCTCTGCTGCCGAATCCTATTGTGCTATCACTGGTCACGTGAGGTACGGAGTGTGAGGAGGGTTATAGGGATGAGGGG